TGAGATTTGTGGGGTCAGATGTCCATCTGAGATGGGTTTGCAGAGATTCTTTTGAGATTTGTGGGGTCAGATGTCCATCTGAGATGGGTTTGCAGGGACTCTTTTGGGCTCTGTGGCTACCAGGGGCTGTGCAGGGAGTCCCAAAGCCCTTCAGCACTTCAACCCTACTCATGAGCCCTGCTCATCTAAAGAGATATTAACCATCAAAAGGCTGGAAATTATAATGGTTCTTTTACTTCCTCCCCTTTCCTGCCCTCTGCAGAGACTCCCTGGGATATTCAGGGCTCATCTGGGAACCCTGAGCTGCAGGAACATCCCTATTTCCCCCAAAGCTGGGCTGGTTTGGGATTACATTTGCTTGGAGCTGGTCCCTATTTAAACCTGCATTCCATGTAAAACTACATTCTTAAAAATACATTCTTCAAACTACATTCCTTTCAAAACTGCATTATTAAAACTACCTTCCATTCAAAACTACATTCTTAAAACTGCCTTCCATTCAAAAATACATTCTTAAAATTACCATCCATTCAAAACTACATTCTTAAAACTACAGTCCATTCAAAACTGCATTCTTAAAACTGCTTTCCATTTAGAACTACCTTCTTAAAACTACTTCCCATTCATAACTACATTCTTAAAACTACAGTCCATTCAAAACTGCATTTTTAAACCCACATTCCAAGGGTATAATCTTGGGGTTTTTTTCCCAGTGTTTTGCACAGGCAGTCTGTCAATCACCACCTGAAAATTTGGGAGAGGGAAAGACAGGAAAAATCAGGGTGAAATCCTGGAGGAGCACAGCACCCCTTGGCATTACCCAGCTCAGCCTGTGTTTTTTTGCCTTAATTCCCATTTCTCTCCTCACAGATTCCCTACCTGGGGTTTTGCTCCTGCGAAGAACTGGGGGACACTGGTGTTTGGCAGCTCACAGACCCTCCCATCCTCCCTCTCACACATGGACCAACTGGAGGCTTTAACTGGAGAGAAACCCTGCTGCAGGAATAGGGAGAGCCTCTCCCAGCGCTGGAGAATTCTCTTCTTCCTCCTGTTTTACTGCCAGCAGGACAAAACCCCTCCTCATCTCTCCCGTGGCTCGCTCCAAGCACATCTCACACAGCCACAGCCCTGCAAAAAGTCTCATTTTTACACCAAAATGGACTGATTTGAGGGGGAGAAAAAATATTAAAATACAGCTTGAGGCTCTTGCACAGCTGGGGGTTGGTTTCCTCACCTTGAAGGAGCTCTGGTGACAATTTCACTGCCACTGCAGCAGGGACGAGGAGCCCTGTGCCAGGCAGGATGCTGGGCTTGTTTCCTCACTGCTGTTTTTGCAAAATGTCTGCAGCCCCATTCAGCACCTCGTGCTTGCTCCACTCCCAGCCCCCAAACCCTCAGCACCTTCCAGAAAAAATGAAAGGATTTGATTTCCTGCCCCAAGGCTGGAAACGAGTCGAGCGTTGCCTCTGCAGGAGGTGGGAGTGCCCAAAATGTGCTGGATGTTGTGCAGAGACGAAGGAAAATCCTGGATCAGAGGAAAATTCCAAATTTCACATCAGCTGCAGGTGAAGTTTGAGCATCGAAAGTCAGCACAGCAAAAGCTGGGAGGGATTTTTTTGAAGTAGAGATAAAAGAAGCCTTTTCCAACCAAACCTGAGGGATTTAGGAAGTTCAGATTTGAGTTTGATTATTGAAATCCACCTGTTTGCCCAGACATAGCCTAAAAGGTTTGTGCTGTTTAAATTCCCTTCAGGAGGCTTTGGAAAATGTTTTTTTTTCCCCTTTATACTGGGATTTTTGTGCTGGCTGTTCACCAGGAGTGTCTGTGTGTCCCTTTGGCAGCCCTGGTGAGATTGTGCAGGCTGCTCCAGGAAGGCTGGGATGGATAAAAAAGCTGCTGGAATTCAGCTGGAATTCTCCATGCTTTGCTTCCTCACCCTTTAATTCCCATGTGCCACCTGTCATAAAGACAAAGCAGCTAAAAAAACCCAGCACGTTTCAATTTAGGAACAACATTTGATGGATTTACCCAGGGAGGGAAGGGTTGGGATTGGGGGAAAGTGGAAGAGGAGGGTTTCCATCTCTACCCAAGGAGTTTGGGATCACAAGGGGGATCCTCTTGGTGCCAGAGCCTGCAGGATGCTAAAAAAACCTGCATCCCAAAATACACCACAGTCGGTATTTATAACATAAACTGGCAGCAGAGCAGGGTTTTTTAGGATTAGATTTATAAAAATTATCAGCTTTGGTGATAAATTATCAATTATCAATAAATTAGAGATTTTTTTTTTTTGGTGATAGGATAATTTAAAATGATGAGCTTTGGTCAAAAAATTGCTGCAGGCACTTCAGCAGTGCAGGTTTGCTGCCAGCAGGTCCTTAAAACTGGGTTTAAATGGGATTTAGGCAAACTTCTCTCTTGGTTTGGACCACAAGTGTGGGCATTAACAGGAACAGAACCATCCCAGAATGGTTTGGGTTGGAAAAGACCCAGGCTGGCCTTGGACCCTTCCAGGGACGGGGCAGCCACAGCTGCTCTGGGCAGCAAGGGCAGAATAATTTCCAAAAGTGTGAAAACCACAAAAGAAGGAAAGCAAAAGCAGCATCCAAGGCACCTGGGGTGTTCCAGGAGAGATTTCTGCCGTCCTTGCCCGGTCTGCCTCTGCTGAAAGGTTTGAAATGGGTGAGAGGCACAGATTTGGTGTTTATCAATCAAATAAAAATCGAGTTCTCGTGGTGTTCGGGTGGATTTTCCCCTTGGGCAGGGCTGTTGTCAGCTCCCCCCTGGGAGTGGCAAAGGGCAATTCCAGCTTCCCAAAAAAAGGAGGAACAATTGGGATGGAGCAAACCCCGAGGGGCTGAGCTCAGCTTGGGGCTCCATTTCATAGCCAACAGCCCAGCTATTCCCACAATCCACAGGAATATTCCATTATTTCTACTTTTAGGACTGTGTAACACACCTTAGGCCACGCATAAGTGCTTTATTACAGCAGGGATGGAACTGAAAAAAGTCAGGGAGAAAATTTAGGACAGGGCAGGGGGAAAAAAACCAACCTGGTCCTGTGTGGTTTTATCGCTGTCAGGTTCATTTTTAATTGTCATTTAAACTATTTTTGGCTGTCTACAGACATTCTGAAGAGCATTTCTTGTTTTTCTCCATGCAAAAAAAAAAAAAAAAAAAAAATTAAATACTTGACAATCACACACACACAAAAAAATTTGGTTGCTGAGGCATGTGAATTCTCCAGATTTTTTTTTGTTTCATGCCAGCAAGGTGTAAATTGGGGCAAGAAATATTGTTGTGTTCTAATATTTATTGCTCAGATGCTGCTGGAGTTGAGTGACATGAAAAGGAGTTTCTTTAGGAGCATGAAACAGAGAGGGAGCAAAAGCTGGATGCACAATTGGAGTGGTGTTAGCTGCTCTTTGATGGAGTAATAGAGAAAAAAGTGTTCTGTTTGAGGAGGTAGATACTAAAATACTCTTCTTTAAAATATATATATATATTTTTGGATGTTTGGGAAATATTTTGACAATTGTAGTCTTGTCTCAAATTAGGTGTCAAGAATCACTGGGAGGAAAAAATCTGATTTTCTTCAGCATTTTGAGTTTTCCTGGGGGTTTGTGCTAAGAAGTCTGGTGTAAAAAGGCTTTTTTGGGGGAAAAAAAGAGAAAAAAATATTCCTTTTAATTTAGTAGAGAGGTTAAGAAGACAAAAGAATTGCTGCTTCACTTTCACCCCGTTGCTGCTCATTAATGTGGATTTAATGTCACTCCAGTGGTTTGTCCCAGAACATTAAACTTGAGCTCCCCAAAGTCTTTCCCTTCCCTTGAGCTGCATCAGATCCCAAGTTTTATTCCAACAGCACTTCCCAGGTTTTTCCTTCTCCCCACAATGAAGGAAAAAAAGCTGCAAACCTGCCAAGAAGAAATGGTCAATCCTCACAATTTACAATGTATGGCTGAGGAAAAAACAAGAATTAAACTGACATTACACTCGAATCAGCAGAGCTGTGCTTCTTTATGCAAAATGAGGATCCAGACCGTGATAATTTCAGTAAAAATTGGTATTTCCCTTTTCTCCCCCACTGAGCAGTTGCAGACAGGAGTTGGCCTCCTTCTGCTGTTAAATTCTAGGTGAAGTTAATGAGAGTGGTAATTTTTATCCCCAAATAATGGCTTTGCTCTGTGGTTTGGCTTCGTTTCTTTGACAGAGGAAACGATTTGGAATTCTCAGGTAGGAGGGATGGGGGAGCAGAGGTGTCACTGAACAGAAGAAATGCAATTAACAGCGGCTGTTAATGAACAGGTTGGCTGCAAAGGCTCAAAATCACTTCTTGCTGCTCCCCACTTCCTCAAATTCATCCCCTGGGGAATCTTCAGGACCCACAAGAGAAAATACTCAGCCAGTTCTTTTACTACTTCCCATTAAAATGTATTTTCTGAACTTTCTCTCCTGGCATCTCTTCAGACCTGATGTTATCAACAGCTCCTTTTACTTTTCTTTTCTTTCATTTTCAACCTGTTGTATCATTCTGTTTATTATGGTTTTGTTGTTTTGTTATTTTTTTTTATTTAGTGTGAGCAGATTATATTTATTTGAGAAAAAAAAGTTTTGCTGTTAAAAAAAAAAACAAAACAATCATTGTATTGCCAAAAATAGCTGTAATTACCTGTGACATCTGTATTTTTTTATTTTGGGGGTGGGGCAGGCAGGGGGGGTGGGTGGTTGTTTTTAACCTCAGTTCTGAGTGCTAACAACTGTTAAAAAACAACCACTGCATTTTAATTTGCTTCTCACATTAAATGGAATTCTCAGAAATCAGACAAAAATATCTCGTAGGTGATTTAACAAAGATGCCGAGCACCCTTCCTATTTCAGATTTCCTCCGGAGGGAACGTGGTGGGATTTTGAGCTGCGTTTTTCTTTTTTCTCAGGCTGAAATTCATTCACTTGACAGCAGATGGCACAAAAATTCTCCCTGCTCAGGGACGGGGTTTTCCCTCTCAATTCAGTTTTTCCCCGGGGGTAATTCAACCCCAACGTTGGAAGGGGGGAAACGAAACCAACGTGAAAAAAAAAAAATTATTCCAACAACACGTAATAAGCAGGATTATTATTTTTTTTATCTTTCAACCCAGCTGCTTAAAATTCATGACCTGTAGCTCTATTTTCCAGTCAAATTGATTCGTGATGATGAACACAAAAGCCACAGCTTTTATTAACCAAATACCCACTGAGTGAGGCACCTCCCTAAACTAAGTTTCATAGAAACTGGTCCTAATAAATCAGGAATAAAACACACAGTGTGTTTATAATTAATTTTGTCCACTTCACTCAAGCACACACAGGTTTTAAACCAGAATTATTTTATTAAATTCAGTTTCTTTTGAATGTAATAGTTGTCCGCACCAAATTTTGAGCACTTGCAAAGGAGGGACAGAAGAGGATCTGACAAAAACTCTTTTTGGGAATCACAACTCATGAGGTGGACTTGGACAAATGTGATGTTCTCACACACCTGGGGGGACAGCAGGCTGGAATAATCAGACCTGCAAGGGGAAACCCGAATTGTGTCCCCTGGCACCTCCTGGAGCAGCTCAGCGAGTTTCCTGCACCACAGGCAGGAAATTCCCTTTTCCCACTGCTGCTCCTCCAGCATCCCCCCGGCACAGCCAAAACCCTCCTGGGCAACAGCCCAGCGGCAAGGAGTGACACATTTTTAATCCATTTTCATTTAAAATGGGGTTTGAAGCAGCCTTGCCACATCCACGAGTGACATTTCTATAATCCAAGGATTTTTAAATGGGGTTTGAGGCAGCATTGCCACATCCACGAGTGACATTTCTATAATCCAAGGATTTTTAAATAGGGTTTGAAGCAGCATTGCCACATCCACGAGTGACATTTCTATAATCCAAGGATTTTTAAATGGGGTTTGAAGCAGCATTGCCACATCCACGAGTGACATTTTTTAATCCAGGCATTTAAAATAGATTTTCAAGCAGCCTTGCCACATGCATCCACGAGTGACATTTTTTAATCCAAGGACTTTAAATGGCTGATTAAATGGATTTTCAAGCAGCCTTGCCACATCCACGAGTGACATTTTCATAATCCAGGCATTTAAAATGGGGTTTGAAGCAGCCTTGCTACATCCACAAGTGACATTTTTTAATCCAGGCATTTAAAATGGGTTTTTAAGTAGCATTGCCACATCAATCCACAAGTGACATTTTTTAATCCAGGTATTTAAAATGGGTTTTCAAGCAGCCTTGCCACATCCACGAGTGACATTTTTATAATCCAAGGATTTTTAAATGGGGTTTGAAGCAGCCTTGCCACATCCACGAGTGACATTTTTTAATCCAAGCATTTAAAATGGATTTTTAAGCAGCGTTACCACATCAATCCACGAGTGACATTTTTTAATCCAGGCATTTAAAATGGGTTTTCAAGCAGCCTGGCCACATCCCCCAAGCGCTGCCTCCCTGCCCCTTGGGCAGTGCCATCCCGGGCACCCCAGCGGCAGGTGACCCCAACCCGAATTTCGCTGATTTTCACCTTCTCCTCTCGGCGCATCCCTCCCGGAGCGGCCAAATTCGGAATCCCCGGCGCTGCCGCCCACCGGTTCCTGCGGAGGGACCCGTGAGGTCACCGCTGGCTCAGCAGCAGAGGAAACCCGGGGTGGGACAGGGACCCCGGGGCGGGACAGGGACCCCGGGGTGGGGACAGGGACCCCGGGGTGGGACAGGGACCCCGGGGTGGGACAGGGACCCCGGGGTGGGGACAGGGACCCCGGGGCGGGACAGGGACCCGGGGTGGGACAGGGACCCCGGGGCGGGGACAGGGACCCGGGGTGGGACAGGGACCCCGGGGTGGGGACAGGGATCCGGGGGTGGGACAGGGACCCCGGGGCGGTGGGTGAGGTCACGGGAAAGGCGCTGAAAAGGGAGCGCTGGCAGCGGCAGCCCCGCGGAGGGAGGAAGCCGAGCCCAGCTTAGCTCATCCCAGCCCAACCTAGCTCAGCCCAGCTAAACTCAGCTCAGCCCAGCCCAGCCGAGCCCAGCTCAGCCCAGCTAAACCCAGCTCAGCCCAGCCCAGCTCATCCCAGCTCAGCCCAGCCAAGCCCAGCTCATCCCAGCTCAGCCCAGCTAAACCCAGCTCATCCCAGCCCAGCTCATCCCAGCTCAGCCCAGCTAAACCCAGCTCAGCCCAGCTAAACCCAGCTCAGCCCAGCCCAGCTCATCCCAGCCCAGCTCATCCCAGCCCAGCCCAGCCAAGCCGAGCCCAGCTCATCCCAGCTCATCCCAGCCCAGCTCAGCTCAGCCCAGCTCAGCCCAGCTCATCCCAGCTCAGCTCATCCCAGCTCATCCCAGTTCATCCCAGCCCAGTTCATCCCAGCCAAACTCATCCCAGCTCATCCCAGCCCAGCCCAGCTCATCCCAGCTCAGCCCAGCTCCTCCCAGCTCATCCCAGCTCATCCCAGCTCATCCCAGCCCAGCCCAGCCCAGCCCAGCCCAGCCCTGCCCAGCCCAGCCCAGCCCAGCATGGCCGTGCCCGGGGTGCTGCTCGCCGTGTCGCTGCTCCTGCTGCCAGGTAAGCCCGGGGTTATCTCATCCCAGCTCTCCTTCCCAGCCCGGGCACACCGGGCACAGGGCTGTGCTGGTGGTGTCTGGGTGACAAAACCGTAGTGTCACCCCATTCCCGACTTTGTCACCCCATTGGGAGTCAGTGAGCTCACTAAACCCCGCATCACTGAGACCAGCTTGAGGTGACAAAGCATCAGGGTGGCAAAACATTGTGCCTTGAATTTGGGCGAGGATCCAGAAGGATGCTTGCTTTGCCCGGGTCAGAAATCCGAGTGTGCCTCTGTTGGTACACTGTGTGAGCAATTTAGGGAGAACTTGCAAAGTCCTTTGGAAAACAAAAAAAAAAAAAACATTTTAGATGCTGCATCTCCTCACTCCTGCTAGAGGACCAGCTGATTCGGATCTCCTTTGTGTTTTGGGCACAGGAGTGTGACAGGCTCAGGTCTGGCTGTGCCAAACAGAGGATCCAAGAAGGATCTAAGAGAGGATCCAAGGAGGATCCAGAGAGGATCCAAGAAGTATCTGAGAGGATCCAAGAAGGATCTAGAGAGGATCTAAGAGAGGATCTAAGAGGGATCTAAGAGAGGATCCAAGAAGGATCTAGAGAGGATCCAAGAAGGATCTAGGGAGGATCCAAGAAGGATCTAAGAGAGGATCCAAGAAGGATCCAGAGAGGATCCAAGAAAGATCTAGAGAGGATCCAAGAAGGATCTAACAGAGGATCCAAGAAGGATCTAGAGAGGATCCAAGAAGGATCTAAGAGAGGATCCAAGAAGGATCTAACAGGATGCAGGGAAGGAAGGAGCAGCAATCCATGACAGATCCCTGCAGGCTTCACTCCTGACCTTTGCAGGAGAAATGGGTCCATGATCCAGGGGCTGCAGCACTATTCCCTCTCCCTGCTGGAACAGGAACCACGGCAGGGCTGTCGCTGACAATTTGCTAATTCTCAGGACAGCCCCTCTTCCCCGTTTTGCCCCAGACTCCTGCAGAATGAATTTGTAGCTGCTGCCTTAAACAGGATGATTCTGGGTTACAGGCTCACAGATAACTGCACCAAAATCATTAAATAGGGTGGCTCTGTGAATTACAATCTCACAGATAACTGCACCAAAACTTTGTCATTAATTGGAGTGGGTCTGTGGGTTACAATCTCACAGATAACTGCACCAAAACTTTGTCATTAATTGGAGTGGGTCTGTGGGTTACAATCTCACTGATAACTGCATCAAAACTTTGTCATTAATTGGAGTGGGTCTGTGGGTTACAATCTCACCGATAACTGCACCAAAGTTGATTAAATGGAGTAGCTCTGTGGGTTACAATCTCACAGATAACTCTGCACAAAACCTAACTCAATAATTGGAGTGGCTGTGAGTTACATTCTCGCAGGCAGCTCTGCACCAAAATAACTCAACAATTGAATTGGAGTGGCTGTGGGTTACAGGCTCACAGATA